CACCGTCCTGCCACCTGCTCCCCTGCCCGCCGGGAGGGGCTGCCGCCCACCCCCGTCCCCATGGCAACGCGCGCCCCGGGGCCGGCCACCCTGGCCTCCTTGCCGCGGCGCAGCCCATCTGGCCCCAAGCCTTCCCCAGCTGGGTCGCCTGAGGCCTCGGCCGCCCGGGGACCCTCACAACACCCCAGGGGCCAGAGACCAGGGCTGGAGCGACAGCACTCATACTACCCATGCCAGCACCAGGGCTGGCTGCTGGGTTCATGCTGATGGGTCAGAAGCCACCCTGCCCTGCAGGACCTCACGTTCCAGAGAGAACCCTCCCCAAAATATCCACCCAGTGTGGCAGGAGAGACAGCCACGGGATTAGAGGACGGCTTTCTGGAGCCAGCCACCCTGGGCTCAGATCCCCAAGTAGTGTGACCCTAAGCAATTTACTGAACCTTTTCCCCATCTGAAAAATGGAGGTGATCATAGAACCTGCCTCAGAGGGTGGTGTTGAGGGTTAAATGGTTCAATGAAGAAAAATACATGGAGTTAGCACTCAATAACTATCAGCTATTGTTATTACTGCAGGTGGCAAGTGCAGCAAGAGAGAGCTGGAGCCCAGGGTAAGGGACCTAACCCAGCCTGGGGTGGGGGGGGTGGCTTTTAGTCTTAAGGGCACTAAGACAGGAGCCACTGAGGAGTCTGAACAGAGGCATGACATGTCCCTTGTTTTCTTAGACATCACTCTGGCTGCCATACACTCAATGGCTTGGAGGGGCCAGTGGTCCTTTTGAGAGATGGTGAGGCCTGAACAAGGGGAGATGCAAGGTCAATGGAAGGTGGGGACTGATTCGTGGCTGTTAAGGAAGTAGACGTGGCAGGATGGTGACCTGTGGACCGATGTGGCTGGACAGGGCCGAGTTAAGGATGACCATGGACACTCAGGCAGTTGCTTTGGGCACTGGGAGGGCAGCAGGGCCAGAAGAGGGGCAGGTCTGGGGGTGGGGAGGGGATCACCTGTACCTCCCACTTCTCCCAGATTCAGACCCTGAGACCAAACTGTCTTCTAGAACTCTCTGCCCAGTGTCCCAAGAGTTTTCAGAACCTGCCTTTGCAAACATGAGTCTAGCATCTCTTCCCCTAAAGCTGTCTTCCTAAAATCCCCACGAGCTCACGGTGGCAGAGCTGCTTTCTTAACTAACAAGCATCTCCGTCCCTGGAGTTGTGGCCACAGGTGGGAGAGGGAGCTTGGGTAAATGTTTTCCTGCCTGGAACAAAAATCCATTCTCATTCTTCAAATTCCCCAAAGCCAGCAGGTCCCAACAGGTAACAGGTGATTGGAGAAAACAACTGGCCATTGTCTTCATCATGTCAATTTGCGTTAAAATTATGGAAAAACTTGTAATTGAAAAAGAAATGAAAGCACATGTTTTTGTTAGATAACGTTCAAAAATACAGTTGAGGGCTTCCCTGGTGGCGCAGTGGTTGAGAGTCCGCCTGCCAATGCAGGGGACGCGGGTTCGTGCCCCGGTCCGGGAAGATCCCACATGCCGCGGAGCGGCTGGGCCCGTGAGCCATGGCCGCTGAGCCTGCGTGTCAGGAGCCTGTGCTCCGCAACGGGAGAGGCCACAGCAGTGAGAGGCCTGCGTACCGCAAAAAATATATATATATAGACAGTTGATTCTTGTTACTCGTGGCAATTATGTTGTACAAAGTCATCGCGAACCTTGAATTAGTGAATATTGAATCATGGCTCTTAAGTGACAAATAGGGGCAGGTGCCTGCCAGCCACCTGTCTTTCTCAACCCATCACCGCATAACCCTATTCAGTATGTGTTTGTTTAAAGACACCTTATGGGTATATATTGTTGGTTCGTTAACATTGAACTTATGGCCAACAGCCCTAAAAAACTCACTCCTGAAGGACGCTTCTCCGTAGGGCACAGCCCAGCCTTCCTGCACTTAGCACACTAGACAGCTCTTTCCCACTCTGCTTGGGGCCATTTCAACAGTGAAATCACCAGCCAAGAGTACAAAAATGCTAAAAAAAAACCCCACTGCACTAAATAGACTGAAAATGATACTTTACAGTCTGAGCTGAAACTCATTCAGCAACTCAAATTTTTTGCCCCTCTGCCCCTGTCCACAAGTGGTGCTAGTGTTGATTTTGGGGGGAACCAATAAATTTTAAAAGCAAGTAGGTGAATCCACCCATACGGGATCTGCAAATAATAAAGATTGTATACCTAAAAACGTCCATGTGGGCAAGGCAGTTGACATTCTTTCCAGTCATATTTTTCATTTTGGAGTCCCCTCGTGAATGGTTTTACTTTTGGATGAGGCTGATTTCACCTAAAAAGTCAAGCCAGAACACTGAAAACATTGATATTTTTGTACTTAAACCTTTCTAAAAGACATAGGTTAGATTTGCTCAATATAAATTAACCCAAAATACTAATTAAAGCGGAAACGAGTATTAATGAAAGTGTGGAATCTGTGTTGATCATTTTGTGGCTTCTTGCAGCTGGGGCAGGGTGAGTTCGCAGCGTGGAAAATGAATGAACTTTGATTCACTTCTTGCTGAGCTGTTATGGAGGTCGGGGTACAGTCCTACCTTAAACTCGGGTCCCTGGTCTGTTCTCAGCTCCTTCTCTCTGGTTCTCCTGTGGTTTCCCTGACCTGGCTCTGATTTCAGAGACTTTTTCCTTATGACCAAGGCGTCAGCCTGGAACCTGACTTTGTAAGGAACCACACACACAACACCCCCGGTTGAAGTCAAATCCTTTGCTGCTTTGGGCGCAGAGAAGGTGATGTGGCACAGGCCAGAGCCCTCCTCCTAGTGTACCCAGTGTTTTAAGGGCTGCGATTTATTCTTATAATCCCCTGGAAATCCACTGATCCATTTGAATCCACTGAAGGTGAGTGGGTTCAAGGTCAGTGCCCCTTTTGCTGCTTTTATGGCTACCTGGCGGATGATTTGTCCCTGGGACTGGATTCCTTTCCTCCCAAACAAAAACTGACCATGGGGACTTTTCCGGCTGGCTGGCTGCTTTCGTCTTTGCTTTCTGCTCCAGAAGGAGAAAAATAAAGGGAGGTGCTCCATAGCATCTTAGAAAATAGGCATCCGGCAAGTCATTTGGACAAGTCCTATGCCCACTCCACCCCTCCCAGCATTTAGTAAGCACCTGCAGACCCTGCATTCTGCAAAACTGAGGCTTTCCTGCTTTGGTCAGTTCAAAGTTATCTGGCCCCTCTCCTTGCTCTGCTCCAGACTCAGCCCCATCCTATGGGATCAACTGAAGCCCAGGCTTGCCTGGAGTGAGGGGCCATGCGTGGGCATCACTGCTTTTCTAGTACATTCTGAACAGGTTGATGGGCCTTCAGGCCGTTGCTGTAGAGCAGGCAGCAGACCCTGGAGATGCAGGTTCTGATCCGGGTGCCGCCCCTCATGGGTAGAGATGGGAGATGCGAGAAGGAGAATGGCGGGGGCAGTTCAACCCTTTGCCTGAGCCTCTCCGCCCTCTGAGTGAAGGAATCGCACAGAGTGAACTCCAGAGCTGTCCCTCCCTGAGTCCTGAACAGGTGAGAGGAGAGACAGTGTAATTCTCCCCTATCGATGGCTGGTCGGAACAGGCCTGAGGGACTCCTGGACGCCTGTTCTTTCGGGATAACAGGAAAGTGATTATGAGTACCTTGTGAGTCCCCAGCGGGCTTGCTCCCTGGGGAAATTCCCGTTCTCTGGAGCACATACTATCAGCTTTCTTCCTCCACTCAGTCTAGGAATCGCCAGGAAAACCGTAGCGACAGCAAAGAAGAACCCTTGGCAACACCAACACCTCTGATTCTGGTCCCTTGTTGGTATTGGAGCAGTTACTCAGTCCAGCCACGAGGGGGCGCCAGCCTCCAAGTGTCCAGAGCATCCCCTCTCGTACATGAATTCTCATATTGTCCCAAAGCATTGAGGGTCACGGAGTCCTGAGTGTCAGAAGGGCCCTGGGATGGGGGTGCGGGTGCGGTGGGGGCTGGGTGGGAGGGGACAGTGTAGCTAGTTCACCCCCCCTCCCCCCAACAACAAGCGGTTGTCCCACTGGGCCTGGGAGTGGACAGCTCGTGAGACAGCCACTCCCTTTCTGGCGGGGTGTCTGTGTGCATCTCCAGCCCTGCCCAGTCCAAGGACACTCAGGACCGTGCTGTGCTCCTTCTGGCCAATTCACGGTTAACGGTCTTCCTTCTCTGCCCCCCAGACCTGCACTGGCCTGTAAAACCCCACTGGCTGGGCAGTGACCTCTCTGGACTTGGGCTTTTTACCTGTCAGCCTCATGCCAGGTGGCCAGCGATTAAGCAGACTGGACACTTGATCAGCACACGTTATACACAACGAATGCCGATTGCTTCACATTCTGTCCCATTTCTTTAACTGTATTCCCCATTTCCCTTCAGCCTCTCATAAATAACCGACCACATTCCTCTGTTCAACTGTTCGTTGTGACCTGATCCAGCACCGAGGGAAGCGGTAGTGCCCACCGACTGCTCCAAGCATTCCCGCCTGCTGTCACTGTCAGACTTCTCCCCCCAGATAAAGAAGGTGTCAGAGAAATGTCTGGTCAAAACGAGTTCATTACAAATCAAAGAAATAGGCTTCTATGTGCATTCACACACGTGGCACTAATGCCCCTAAAACGTCGGGTGTGAAAGGCTACTACAGAAACCGGAATGACCCTTTTCGGATGCTGTGTGGGCAACGGTAACTGATAAAGTGATGCAGAGAGCTCAGGGAAAGGGCAGGGCAGGCGTGGACCATCTATGTAAATCACTTGATGCCTGAAGCCAGCGTGCCCATCACAGCTTCTTACTAGGTCGTCATCCAGTAACAGCAGGGATGACAGCTACAGTCTGACTACTAACCACTGGGACAACTGTGAAATGGTCAGCTAATGACGCGAGGCTGGCAGGGAAAGATGTCGGTCACCGGCTCCCTGGAGACCCCGGGGCGGGGCGGAGGGCGGGTTCAGCCGGGGAACTTGGCGAGCCGAGCCCGGGTCAGCTGCTGCAGCGGCTCCCTCAGGAGCTTCCTCCTGTTGCTGGTGTCGCTGCGCTCCTTCAGCAGCCTGTCGTACTTGTCCTTGTTCTGCAGCAGCTGCAGCATGCCCTTCCGCAGCTGGCCAAACGTCTTGAGCACGAAGAACTGGATGATCAAGGGGGTGTGGCTGGAGATGCGGGTGCTGACCTCCTGTTAGGAAGGGAGGGGCAGTTCACAGGAGGGTGAGGGGCTGCGGCCGCCAGGAGGCCCCGACGTCACCGCGGAGCCCCGGCACAGACGAGACCTGGCAGGTGCAAAAGCTCCCCACCTGGGTTTCAAAGGCACCCTCGTCCTCTGTGCTCCAGGCGGCGCCGCGTCGGGGGCCAACCCCGAGCCTGGGCTCCCACCAGCCTCTCCTGATCACTAAATGCTTACTTCTGATGCAAGAGGGTAAAATGTGCTCTAAAAAGGTTAATGGGCAGACTGGTACAAAAACTACATTTTTTAATTATTTACAACTCTGCCCCAGAGATTTTATAACCTTTTTTTCTTTTAATCAAAGCTAAAATTATTTAGCAGAATAGGAGCTGGGCTACCAAAAGCCACAGAAGGGAGCTCTCTGAGTTCTAGGCACGTTGAAAGTTCGTTTCAACCTTCTTTTCTCCCTCTTTGTAACTGAGCAGGACCCAATGGGGTCCTGGGACAATATCCCCTCCTCACCCCACCCATGTCCTCTGCTTTCCCTTTGTCTCTAAAAAAAAGAAAATGTATCCAAAGAATAAATTTAATCAGAGAAATGAAAAAAGGCAGCAACAAAGGAAAATAGTCAAGCAAAACAAAATAATAATAGTTCAGCTATTAAGCAAAGTCAAGGACCTTTAGCCCCTCCTCAAGGGTTACAGACAATATTTTGCGCCATGTCCTCTGAGCTGCTTTACCGAAACTAAAACCCCCACCAGGTAAAAGAAGTTAATCATATGCTGCCCACAATCACGTAGCCCCCAGATCAGTTGGAACCAGAGGGTTGAGGATGTTGACTCTTGGTGATCTCACCACCAACCAATCAGAGGAATGTCCACGAGCTCATCACGCATCTCACAATCCTCTCTTTAGCATGTAACCCTTCCTCTTTTCCCTACAGAGTCTCCAAACAAAGCCTGGAAAATGGGGAACTGGTTCTTTGGGCCATGAGTCCACCTTCTCCCCAGGATTGCCAGCTTCCTGAGTAAAGCTGTCTCTCATTTTACCCAATACTTGTCTCTCAGTACTGGATTCTTGAGCAATGAGAAGCAGAACCTGAGTTGGGTAACGTCACCACACCCCACCTGTTAGTGCAAAGTTTCTCTTTCCTAAGATAAGTCGATCTCTCAACAAGCTGATATATACTGGTACTGTAGCAAGTTCTGCGACCTCTCCGTGCTTCAGTTCCCTTCTCTATAGCATGAGCACCTGGCCTCATGTGAGGGCTGAAAAGATTACATGAGCTAAAAACAAAAGTTTAGAAAGATGCCAGGAGTAGAGCAAGCACTCAGGGTATGTGAGTGGAGGGAATCAGTGAGATGGAGATGTAACACACGCTCCGTGCCCCAGGATGAGAGCAGGAGAGGGATGGGACCGCCAGTGTCACCAATGCAGGGCGGGAGAGAAGGGACAGGCAGATGACGGCATTCCAGGGGGATGCTGGGGCCAAGAAACTGATGTCTGATGTTGGAGAATGGACACCAGCTGAAAGGAAGGGCTGGTCTGTCCGACCGGCAAAACCACACACCCAAACAGCTTTTGAGAGTCTGGTATGAACAAGGCTGCAAAAGTCATTTTCCCATTGTCCTGGAGATCATCCAAATCATGCCTAGTTTTGGTGAAGCAGGAGGTAGGTAATGTTCAGCCTGTGACCCGCGTGTAACAGAAGCAGGGGTGGCCAGGCAGAGCCACACAGCAGGAGGGGAGCAGCATGGGTCAGACAGGGAAGGAGAGGGAAAGCCTTTCCTGCCGGGGAGCTACCTGGTGAGCACAGTAGCCCAGTGAGCAGGGCTGGTGCAGAGTTCTTCCTGACCAAGTGGGTGTGGGGGAGCTGAGGTGGTGGGCCACACAGAGAATCACACAGAAGGGCCACGTTGGCATGAGACCATCTCTTGGGAGCTGAGAGGAAATTTCTGAGTAGTGAAAGTCAGCTCCCCTGGACCTCTCCGTTGTATTTTCTTTTCATCACTGCAACTGTAAGGTCCAGTACGAGACACGTCAGGCTTTAAGGCCTTGGTGGGTTAACCAAGATCAAACTGGGTTATTTCTGGGGCAGCACCATTGGGAACAAAAAGAGCGTGACGCACATGATATGTCGACTTGATCACTGTTGAGGGAGGGCTGATTCTTCTAAGAGTCATGATTGATATGGGCCAATGAATCTGTATTTTCTCTCTAGGTGTCCTCTGAAATCAGTACTAGATGCTTGCTGGCCAGAGTTCAGGGATCTGAAACAGCACATGTGGCTTTCACGCCACTAACTCCTTACTCTGGGCGTCCTTCACCAACTGCATCACCCAGACCCCCGGCCCTGGACTCAACTTGACTTGCAGGGTTTATCATGGTGCCTTGGACTCACCTTTCTGGAAACCGTTTTCAACCACAACACTCCATCCGTAGAACTCCGTTCGCATTTTGTTAAACAGCCGAGAGTCATACTCTCCCACGAATTCTTCCCCTTCTATTACATCAGTGATCTCTTTATTAAACGCATCAATTTTCTGCCAAGAAGAAAAATGTAAGTATCAGCAGAGATATTCCAAATACAAGCAAAGTAGTTTGTGGGTCGCATGCATGCAGAGGGTGGGCGAGCCCTTCTCTGCTGCCTTATGGGCCCGGGTGGGAGGACAGGAGAGAAGAGGCTTTGGCAGCAGACAACCCCAAACTCCCCTCACTGCCCGGGGGTCTCGGGTGAGCGCGCTTGAGGAAGAGCCGATGCTGTGAATGGGATGGTCTGCCACTCCCTGCCTACCATCCTCCAACCCCAGCCCCTTTCTGGTGCTAAGTGGCCAGAATGAGTCCGGATCAGCTTTAGGGGAGTGAAGAGAGACGTGCACAAGGCCCACGCACGATCCCTTTGTAGACAGTGATGTGCGACTCTCCAGCTTGGTGCCCCTGGCAACACTCACATCTATCAGAGAGAACATCTTTCCACTTTCGTCTTCCGGGGTATCTGGGTCATACTTCTGCAGTTCCTCTGTTATTCTCTGGTGACTCCCCTTTATCTGACTTTCTAACAGGGGCAGAGATTTCTGAGGAAAAGAGAAAACAATGGAAAGACATAAATACGAAGAGGGAATGAGTCAAGTCTGGCGATGATGGGAAAGGAAGAGTTAGTCCAGTGCTCATAAGATGCTAATTTGTAATTAGGTCAAGTGCATAGTTGATGAGCATCCCACTCAACGTGTGGTCCTCTGACAGGCAACAGCCACACCACCTGGGAGAATCCCGGGCCACATCCAGACCCCCTGAACCTGAGCCGGCATCTTAACGAGATGCACAGGAGATCCACGTGTGCTGACGACGTTTGTTAGCCGACATGGTTAAGCTTTGTGTCTGCAGGATTCTATTCAGAGATTGGACAGCTTTGCAAGTACTTACACAGAAGTGCATGATGAGTTCAGCGGTCAGTCTTTCGGCCAGGCACGGGACCGTGGCCCTTCCTTCCTCCAGAAGATCCCTGTGAGAGAAGACAACGTACATGTCCATCTGGGTCTAGCCAGAAAATGCAAGTCGGCTCTCTGCTGCTAGGGAAAGCCAAGGCAAATCCAGTTACTTCCCACTGGATGGAATGTCCTGCATCTGGTCCCCAACAAATGTTCAGAATTGGATCGCATAGAACTGACTGAATTTCAGTAACGTTAGGTATTTCAAAAATGGTATAGAATGATCTCTGCCAGCTGATATATTGTGTCTCATGACATCTGACTATAGAAATGGTCTTTATAAAAATGTACAGTCACCTCTAGATACGTTTTCATAACATGGACATACCCTTCTATATACGTAACGCACATCAGTATCAAGCTTCGTGAAAATATACTGACACAGGTTTATGGATGAACCCTGAACTGGGGGACCCACCCTTCCCCAAGAGGAGAACTTAAACCATGGGCTGGTTGGAGGAAGGAAGCCAAGCCCTTCTCTCACTCTTTCCAAATATGGGTTTGCATG